TTCGCACCACGAGCGACCGCGTTTGTTCGATGCTTGCTTACGCTCGAGAGAGAGAGAGAGAGAGAGAGAGCTTTTTCAGACCTCTATTTGCATACAAGTGATCTCGTTAACGCAATACCATCGTCGATAATGACGACCGTGGAACATAATTTCATTGGCCGCGGGAATGGATGGAGCAGCATCACGTTGCAATTTTCGTTTCGAAATAAAATGAAGTTGCGCGAATCAGCGAAGCGGCACGACACTCTGTATCAGTTTTTCTCTTTCCACTCCCCCTCCCCCTTCCTCCCCCTTCCTTCGAATAAAATTTTACACGGTAAACAATGCACGGTTTTAACGTGGCACGCACGTTCTTTCGAATCGAATAAATCTCCCCTACTTACATTACGAAACGTGGGACACTTTTGGAGGATGGATTCTAGACATAAAAACGATAAAAAAAAAGTTCAATAACGAGTTAATTAAGCATTTTAAATTTGATAGAGCTGGATAGAGCGATGAAATGGCTCGATGAAAGTAAATATGCTGATATTTTTTTCGTATTACGATTGATTATTTTAAATGAATTTTGAAATGGCCATCTGAAATGGTGTTTCGCTCGCAGGCAGGCCGTACCCGTTGCAGAATTGCACGGCGTACAATCAGACCGGCTCCTGGATCCGGATATCGTGCGTGGAGGGATACGACGGCGGTTTGCCGCAAAAATTCGTCGCGATCGTGGACAAGCAACGGTTGGAATCGTCGAACCCGTATTGGGAGTTGGAGCTTCGCAAACCGATGACGGTCGCCCTCTACGCGGTCAACGTGAAGGGATCCAGCGATCCGGTTATCATGGAAGGGGAGGCGTTAAAAGGAGTGGCCAAGTTCACCGGTGCGTAAGTATAACTCTGATGCGAGTTGAATCGTGCAAAGACCGCAGAAACGCAACACGGCTCACACGCGCGCCCTCTTCAAAACACGCGACTCCTCATAGATGAATACCTCTCTCGCTTTCTCGCCTATCGTTCGTTCCGCCAATCGGAATACGCCTCTCCCCTCTCCTCCCGAGTTTCTTTCCTAACGTACCGTTTACGTAAAAACTCCCGAGTGGAAATTTCGAATCGATGGAGAGGAAAGAGAAACGAAGGAAAGTTAATTTATTTCGCTTATATCGCGCGATGCTAATGCAGAATCGCGTTTCGAGAGGAGATTAGTAGCTCGTAGTTATCGACAGTTGGAAAGAATTTTGGTTTTTTATTCGGTGGGGGGGGCGCTTGGGACGCATTGGTTTTGCAGGGGAATCGGCATCTTCGGTGGACATGTCGCCGATCCTGATCGGGCTGGGCGGAACAGCGACTGGATTAGGACTGATCGTGACCGGTGTATTGATGGCACTTTGGAGGAAGCACGCGGCAACACCGGCGAAACCGAAGCCGCCCCAACAGCCGAGCATCGCGACATTCGCCGGCAAGGGTGAGGAAGAAGACGGGAATCCTGACCTCATACCGACCACGGCCTTGACCAATCACCTCACAGGTGAGTCGTCGCATCACGTTTCGAATTCGAGCGTGTTAAATCCCGCACGTTTCTCACGTTTCACACTGTTGCAACACTGTTGAACAAAGGTGAATTCGAACGGAAGAAGACTACGAGGAGTCTTTCTTCTCTTTTCTTCCTCTTCTTTTTATTTTTATTTATTTTTTTTTTTATTTTCACGTTCAACAGCATCGTCGAAAAATAACCCGGTATCTCATCTGGTAAATTTCTACTCAATCTGATGAAAGTGCTTGGTTTAAACGAGAATCGCAAATATATCGGATCCCGTTCTAAACCGCGATCGTGGTTAACGATACTTTCAAGGAAATTGCTCGCGAGAGACGCGTGCCTTGCATCGATTTGTTTTGATGTATTTAAAGTGCATCGATTCGGATAAATCTACGCGAACAATCGTAGGTTGTTGCGGATGCATTCGTTCGAATTTCAAAAATTCTTCTTCTTCTTCTTCTCGAGAGAGAGATAGAAATATAAGGTACGATACACTAGAACGAAATTTTTTCCAGATAGGAAGCTTTTACATTACGGTTCCTTACCACGAAGGCCGCGTCAACTCGAAGGGCGGGAAATGGCTCATAACGTCGTAGAAGAGTCGGATTATCCTCGAGCATCGCCAAACGTGAGAATCACATCTTTTGTTTGCCTTTGATTTCCAAGGACGAATTTCCCCTCTCAAGGAGGCGAATAATTTTGTTTGCAGACATTTTACAGTCTCCAGAGGCCGCATCGATATTCGGAAACGGTAATCCGAAGTTCCGTGATTCAGGAAAGCTGCATTTAAGAATCGAGAAGAGGGAGGAGGAGGGGGAGGGAGAGGTAGAGGAAGAGCGGTGTTGCGGGGGACGGAAGAGGAAGTCGAGGATTTGCATATACGCTCCATAGAGTTGTGTTCCAACGCAACACCGTGAAAATCAAAAAAAGACTTAAAGCCATTTGCTTATGCAATATTGTACACGTTCAAGCGTACGAAGATATTATTTAGCAAGTCGATAACAATACGCCTTTGTAAATATTGTATATAAATAAAACACATCGATTCGTGTTATGCGTTTGTATCATGAGATTTTCCTTTATTCGATATATAATACCTGATCTTGGTATGAAAACCATTGATCATTCAATTTTCCAACGATCCAAATTTCCTTCCCTATATTTTTCTACTTTTTCTTTTCTTTTCAGTAGACAAAAAAAAAAAAAAAAAATAATGGATTAGGTAAAATATCGTCTAAGTTATAATAACGGAGAGAGTAATTCCAAGCTTTTCTCTAAATTGGGATCGAGAGGATTTGGACTACTTCTACGAGAGATTTAATGCATCTATGGACGTTAAATGCAGTTGGTAAAAAAGGAATAGCGCTATCTCGTATAGTAGTCGGGAACAAAGCTTGGGGGAACATACGATATATATCTTCGAAACAGACCAAAAGGTGATCGCATAAACTCTGCTCGGTTGCTGTTGAAATCCGGGTCAAGGAAAGGACGCGATTTATCGTGGCCTCGTTCCCAGATAATCTTTGTTTCAAGACGCGAAGATCTCAGACACTTAATGAGAATCTTCTTTTATATATGTTTCTTTTGTTTTAGACTGCAATCTTGATGCCTTTTATCACCACTAAATTCGTATCGGACTTGACCCACTCGCAGAAATCTCTTCGATCGTGCATATAATTTCATGAAAAATAATGGTATATATTTATACAAATTATTTTCCTTAAAAAAGTAATGCAAAGTTTATTATTAAACGATGAAATGATCTTTGAAATAAAGAAATAATTTGATATATCCAAATCAAAAAAATTATTTTTTTCTACTTTTGTTATATGTACGATGAAATAATAATTTTTTGTTCTCGATTTTATTATCGATAAAAAATAATAAAAACCTATACTACATATATCTACCTTTGTCAAAATAAATATGATGATGTAATAATAAAATACAATAAATTCTAATAATTTATTACAAAAGTTATATTATTATTTTTCCATTATTTATATATTTTAGACTTTAGATTGAATTTAAAGTTTAATTATTCTAAATTTTATTAAATGAAATTACTTTTGTAATAAAAGTTTTGTTCACATTGTAAGAGAAGTAATTAAAGAAATAAATAAAAAACAAAATTAGATATTTTGTACGATGAATATGATATACTAGAGGGCATAAGAAACCGATTTTTATTGCCGTCGATATTTCAGAACACTAGAGTGATATCAAGCTCTGCCGCAAGATGTCACTTGTAGTCTCTACTTCATGTTCTGAAATATCGATTCTAAATAACCAACGATTTCACTCAATGAGAAATAGAGTACACGTGACATCTTTCGGAAATTTGCATTATCGATCTCAATCATTATAATTTCATATAATGCCATCTATCATTTTACAATCTAAGTATATACATCAAATATATGTAATGCATACATTTTTCAAAAAGATCAGAGTTAAATAATTAAAAAAGAATTATCGAATATTTAAGTTTTTTTTAACAATAAAATCAATTTTATTATTATACTATTGAAAAATGAAATAGTCAAGATAAGGTCAAAAAGTCAATATATAAGATTTTACAAGAGTTTACTTTTTTACTTTGATTGATTTGATCTCATATTTTTGCTATAAAATTTTTGAAACAAATTTTCATCTTAATATTTTCAATAATTAATACAATAATTATAAATTATATAAAAATTACGTATATATAATACATAACTAGTACGTTAAACTAAAGAACTAAAAGGAAAAATACAAAAGTAAATACTTACATTTTTCTTCAATATAGAAATTTAAATTTTACCTCTTTTTTCATATAATTGTATAAAATGACATCATGACGTCCATATTGGAAATACTTTTCCTACCTAAAGTAATTTCTACCAATCAAGTTATTTATCTGCGCAAAAGATAATTAAATATAATTAAATATGTATAAAATATATAATAAATGTATATTAAATTAATTTTATTAAAATAATAATAACAATCTAATTTCAAATCCTATTTTAAAAACTTATAATATGAATTAGTGATAATTCTAATGTTTAATTATATAAACAAAAAAGAAAATAAATTATTTTACAAAAAATTATGAATTATAATAATATTCAATAAATAATCGAACAAATTAATGAAATAAAAACTTGAAAATATAAAAAAATATTTGTAAAATAAATATTATGCAATATATATAGATATTACGTACCAGAAACGAAGTGTCTTATGATTTTCAGTAACAAAATGGCATCCCGCAATTTCGATACATCGAATTATAAGTTAGAAAGGGGGGTTCGATAAATCGACGATTCGATAAATCAAAACACATCGAGTAAGATGTCAATTTCCTGAAAGATTGAATTATAAGAAATTTTCCATATTGGAATTTTAAGCATAAAATCAAAACAAATATAAAAATAATATGAATATATGAATATAAATTAAATATAAAATATGCATTTAAAAATATACAAAAATATACATATATTTCATTTTTCTATGAATAAAAAGATAAAAAAACTTTATTAATTAATATATTCTTAAAATAAATAAAATCTTACCACATTCGCATGAAAGTCGGATTATCTCTTAATTACATGGTATGTGCAAAAAATATTACACTTTCAACGACATTCCATCTTCAAAACTCTAATCAAATAATAATCTATAAAAAAGATGTTAAATTCTGGTATAATAATGGTTAAACAAACACATATTGACAAAATAAGGGTTGGTAATGATTTAATAACTACAACACGATAAAAATTTCATTAACTCGATCAAACGAAACCTGTCACTATGATTTTCAATTGTAGACTGATGCCATGCGCATAATGACGCGCACTGATTCATTTTGAAACTGAATCTTAGCAGCTTTCTGATTGGCTAACATTACATGATTTCATATTTCAAATCAAACTTTATTGTTTTTCATAACTATATTGAATTTTTCCTTCCTTCAAAAAAGAAAAAATTAATCAATCGATTAAATTAAAATAATCGAACACAAAATTCATCTTAAGAAAATATAATATGAATTACCGTAAGTTTAATAAATGAATAATGAAAAAAATCGCCATCAAAAAATTTCTAATTAAAATAAGAAATTTCAATTCAATTCCTGCTAATGTACAAACAAAAAAATATAATTGTTGAAGTAAATACTATATAATAAAGTATAATATAAATAAAAATTACGTATCTCAAAAAAAATGACGTCTCGGCCACGATTTCGATTATCGAATTACAAATTGCAAGGAGCGAGAAGAGACACAGAATAAGAGGAAGAACGTCAAGTTTAACAAATCGAAACATATTGAGCATAATCGAAAAAATCGTACAAATATCGAAAATCTATCACAAAAATAATAGATAAATATGAGATCTAATTATTACGTTTATTATATACTTAATGAATAAATACACTTAATAATAAATAAACTCAACATTTAAAAATATTAATATTCAAAAAATAATAAACATGCGACTTACTTTGCGAAGAACTTTGTAGAACATTGTATCGTCCATTTGCTAACTGTTTGTCTAATGATGAAACATACCAGCATTCACAAATAAAATGATATATATAATAAACGAATTATATATACGAATAATTTACGAATAAATGTGTAAACTGAACATTCGTAAATAAACGTGTAGACTATAAACAAATGCAAAAAAGCGCGCGAAACTGTTACTATATCACTACGCAAATAAACGTACTTAAAACATTCATGAATAAAACATATATATTTTAAACACTCGCGAATATAACATAAAACGTATTTCAAATTTAATATTTGTGCATATTTTTAAATTATATATAATTATATCGAACGAATATAAATTATATACGAAGTCGAGTACGCTCCGGCACATGTTTATGGTATGGCGGTTGAAGCGTAACTAGTGTTTCTCCCCACCGTAATGCGCGTAACTCGGTGCGCAAAGTCACGCGCATCAACACAGCACATATCGCTATTTATAATTCTTCGGAAAGTTATACAATTTATTAATTATAATTTAATATAACGATATATTAATTTAATAATTTAATATAACGAATAAATTTATAATTTATTTATTAATTTATTAATTTATGTGACATATAAGAATTTAAATATATATATATATATATATATATATATATATATGA